GAAACTTTTCCCTCTATTTGTTATCTCAATTAACATTTTCATAAAAACTGTGCATGCAAATTGTTACTATACAGATTGTAGGATAAGCCAATGTAAATGTTATTTCAGTGTGTTATAAATTTATAGAAAATTGCTTTTACACCCACCCTCCAAATAAGAGCCCAAAATCATTAACCGTTACAGATTTTAGTTGTTCTTTTAATTTGATCTCTTTTTCTTCTAACTTGAAATATTAAAGCAATGTGAAATTTAATTCTGCTGAGGGTATAAAGCCATTTGGGCTTCACTTTTAACTATATGTTTACCTCTGTCGCCATCATGTGGACATATTCTTAAAGTTGCAACATTTGTAAATAAAAACCTATAGCCTACTGCCCCCTGAGGGCGCTCACGCCTTTAGAGCCAGTTATTTGCCATTGATTCTTTTAATACCAACTTAAATAACATGTCCTTTGATAATGAACAACACCCAAAAATGACTTAAACTTTAACATATTTGATTTAAGTGTGTAAGAGAAAATGAAAAAAAATGGGACCATATTTCTTAGTGGTATCAGTAAACAATGTCTTGCACAAAGTTTTGATCTTTCTGATAGGTTGTGTCATCACCAGGTGTTTTTTTATGAAAAGCTCTGTGTTTACACCTTGAAGCTTTCTCTCTCTGGTTCTTTTTACTGAAAACAGATCACTTGGGACAAACTCTTTAAAAACACTTAATAATGTATATGTATTTAAAAAAACCATGAGTGATGACAACAGATTCTGACAGAAATTGTTATCTTACTCAGATCAGAGAAGTTGCTTGGAGTTACAGAAGGCAGAATGAAGATGATAACAGTATATCTTAACAGAGGAACTGTCCTGAGTAGATAAACTACTGGGGGAAAACATCAGTTCTGACATGCAACAGGCAGGTAATATTAGGGTGTAATGAACTCAAACAACATCAATGATAATTATACTAACAGCGTCAAACCTCTTATGTAAGTGTGCCATGTTGCTCCTAATGCCACAACTACAGACATTTTGTTCCATATTATTAAAGTCGATCCCTTGAAAACAGTAATGTTATTATATTTATATATATATATTGCCTGTCTGGTGTCTTCCTATTTTCTCTTTCTTGACTTCCACAATAAATAAGATTTTTGACACTCATCTGACAAAAAATGATCTCTGCCTCAGCAAATTTGACTTCTGATTGAAGTAAAATTAAAACTAATATTTTATGGGAAGGAAAAAATATTTTTAAGTAAAGAGAATGTCCCTATGTCCCAACATAGGTATTTTAGGGTTTTACACTGGCAGTTTAAATTTACAAAGAGCCAGGGTGGAGCCAGTGCTTTTCCATTGAAGCAAAGGACAAAAGAATAAAAAAAAACACAAAAAACTGGAGAAGTGCCCAACATTCAGTATATTAAGTGAGCCACAGCCAAGGTTCCAGACCCCTGATCTGACTGATAAAACCTATGATCCTATGTCTATACAGCTGGAGCTTAAAGCTGACTATAACTGTTTAAGGAAATTATAATGGCTAAAAATTAAATTGGTCCAAGAATCAGTTAGTCTCTTCTGTCAGCACACACAGTACCACCATAATAAATTGATACATTTTTATTAATATAAAAATAAGTCATATTTAGAAAATGTGTATTTGCCTAAGTAAATAACATGAGAAATAAATTAGTATATCTGCCCTTAAAATAAGACAATTAGATATTATGCACTTGAAATAGTGTTAAGAATAAACCTTTTTTTTTTCTTTGTGAACTTCACAAAATATGTGGGCTATAATGTAAATAGTACTTGGTATGTGTTAATCGTTGCCTATTGGTTCCGATTGTCAACAATGAGTGGTGAGGTTGCTTGAGGACCCAGATGCAGAGATGAGTGAAGCAGAGATGAGTTCTGACAGGTTTAACAGAAGAACACAGGAAACAGACTTAAAAATCCAGAAATCCAACTAAAATGTAAGACAAACCAAAAACCATGGAGACATCAGGGGAAAACGAGCCTGACGAGCCACGGAGAGACGAGCTGAGTAGACAAGTAAAGCAATGACAAGGAACCGGCACTGAGTGACTGTAGAGGTGGAGTATTTAAGGAGAACAGAACAAAGGATGGACTAATGAGCTGAAAAAGGAGCAGGAGCATGAGGGAATCCAAGGGGAAATAAAACAAGCATAAGGGGGCAACAGAGAGCAACTGAAGAATGCTCGAATATGATGGAAAATAACAAAACATCTGATAACAGAAAACTGAAAACTCACAACAAATGGGAAGAACCATAACACCGATGGGGCGATAATTGGTGGAATATATATATATATATATATATATATATATATATATATATATATATATATATATATATATATA